TATGTCAGGCTAACCTTTGAATATTAACTAAGATACTAACTGATATTTCAAAAAAAAACCAATATCCAAGTGTATTATGATATGCCAATTAAATGTATCACAGTAGTGTCTCTAGTTATTGTAGCAGTAGATTAATACCAACTCTCCATTAAACATATTGTTTTACGTAAATCAGAGTATTTTGCAGAAGTTCAATTTTTTTACTTTTTATGGAGAAAATTTAAAATACAATGCTGGACATTTAATTTTGATGGGTTGTTTAAAGTATTATAAACAATTTCTATATATTATCTGTGTATAATATTAGGTATACTAAAGATGTACCAATACAGCACTGAATGTTCATAAAAAACTAAAATGAAGGGTTCAGAGGAAAATACTTTAAAATGATCCATTACCGACTTTACTAGTTTGAGTGACTTATTTTGGACACCACTGAAACTGTCCATGGCAAAGTCATTAGATAGCTCTAGGAATTTGTGCAGGCTATAGACTCAGCTGTGGGCTTCTGGTCCAGATCCAGAGGGCCTGCATGGGTACAAGGAATTGTTGATAGCATGAGCTTGGCCATGTGTTTATCTCCCTGGCTGTAGGTGACAGTAACAGAAATAGCATTAATTACTCCACTTCAGTATATCAGCCAAGGTCTGATGTGGCAAAGCAGGGAAGCCTACTGTGCTTCAGACTGGAGCTCCATGCTCCATGGATAAAAATGTAGCTTCCCTATTCCAGGTCCAATCCAGGTTTTATTAGCACTGTTGGTGTGATGCCAAAGGAAAAGCTAGCAAGAATAAGAAGAAAGCATCAGACTAGGTAATTGGTTAGAGATGGTACCCTGGGAAGACAGGGACAAAAGGCAATGAGCTGTAGCTAGCCACACAATCCAAAGTAACAAGCAGTCAGCACTGGATTAGCAACCAAGGCAACATTAATTATTTAACTACAGCATTCACAATGATTTAACCATGCTATTCAGAGCGCAAAGCTAATGGTGATATAGTAAATGAAGCTAGAAGGTGGTGATATTTAAAAAGTTTGTAAGTGTCAGCACATAAAAGAATCTCTATTGGAAAAGGCAATGTTAAATTTTTTTGCTTTCTTGTTTCCTGAAAGGCAAGAGGCAACAAAGAATAAAAAAGCAAAAGGCAAGCATCTACATTTTGGTAATTGCTATTTAGTATTTTCCAGCCATGAAGGGGTGAGCTGTTTCAGAAGTTCCTATTGACAGCCAATTTATAGAATGTGATAGACCAACACATTATGCTGTCTTTGAAAACTGAACAAATGTTTTTGCTATTTACTAGTCAGAAGTAAAGGAATAGATCTGAGCTACAGAGCACCCGCCCAAAATACACAAACCTTTCTCAGCATGCCCCACCTGCAAATTCTGCCTTCATCTAAGTTAACATTATTTTATAGTTCATCCTAATTCATGGAGGACTGCAAAAAGAAGTATAAAGTGAGAATATAGGAATGTGATTGCTCAGAATGGGCTCTCAAAATGTATCACTTGCCTACACACAGTCCTACAACTCTACTGCTGGGATTAAAATGGTAGAACCCCTCTCTAAGGATTACACTCTCTATCACAGAAGCTATTTGCCTGAATTAAATTCACAACTGTCCCATGTTGCATTCTCTCACTCTGTTAAGTTAAATGCTTTTCTAGAAGTGACCATGTAAAATGGCTGCTGTTTTTACACCTGGTGTGCTTTGTGTATGTATTCATAGGCAGAGCTTTTACTGTGGTGATAAAAAAAATGTATTTTTATAATCCCTTACTTGCACTAGCATTGAGGACTCCATTCAGTCAAGACAAAATGAATTAGATTCGATTGTGCTTCACATATCCTGATTGAAGCACTACTGCAAACTCCAATTGCAGCAACAAATTTTGCTAATTGCATTGTGCAAACTAGCTACAGAGCCTGGGCTGAAGGAAAATTTAAACTCCCAAGGAAAACACATTATTATATTACATACTGCAGGCTGCTCTCAACTTCAAGATGCAGTGGCCCACCAAATCAATTGCTCCAGTCTTGGAGCTCTGTGAATACTCTTTGAGCTGTAAACTACGCAGGGCCAAAGTGCTCACCAGGTGCTGGGGATATTTTGGTTAGCTCTGGGCTAGTTCTAAGTGCACATTACAGGAGATGGTTCTGCTCTTATTGACAGCATTTATCTGAAAGAACTGTATTTAAGGAGTTTAGTAGAGGCACTGGGGTAGGAGTGGGGGTGCAACTGTAATATTTAGGATTGCTCAGTTTATGTGCAAAAACTATGTCAAGCTAGATTTCCTTCTGTAATAGGCAGATGAGAATGGATCCAGAAAGGCTGGATCCTAGGATGATCACTAAACACATTGCAACTGTTCTTGATGAATTTATAGTGGTCATACCCAGAAGAAGGGTATCTCCAACTGTTCTGGATCTTTTTGATAAAGATAGTTAGTTCTATAGAGATGCTAAAAGCAGGGCTAGATTTTTCTTTGTTTGACAGAAATGTAGTATGAACAGTACCACTCCACTTTTTGGCTCAAAGCTTCATCTGCATAACAATGCAGTGCTGTCATTAGTAATACCACTGCAGGGCATATTTTCTGAGTTAACAAAAATATTAGACATGCTATTAACACCACCCATTTCACATGTTGATGTTAAAAATAATTATTTATATTGCTTACCTTCTGTGTAATTTTGTATTTTATATTATATCCCAGTTTTTATATAAGTGAAACCTCCTGCCTTGAGCCCATACATTTGTGCAAGTGTCCTGTAGATCAAACCCAAAGAAAAGGTGAATAATCATATTCCCAGCAAGATCAAATGCCTGGCTGAGCCCATGGTTCAAGATATGAAATTTGGTCCATGAGCATAGAGTAGGCTTTTTGCAACATGTACTCAAGAAGCATCTTTGCCAGGCAGTGTGTGTGCTCCCTTCCACAACTGGCAGGGTAGTCTGGCCCCCAGAAGACTGACGGGGGTTCCTGCCTCCCCTCCACTGCTGAGCCTAAATTAAAGAGTTAAAATGTTGAAAAGTGAGTTTATTTGGATTTCTTTAACTGAAAAGACAGCTACAGAAGAAGTGGTTGTGGTTGGATTATATTCTACCTCCTTAATCTCCTATGTGTCTATAGCAGGTCTGCAGCAGTAACGCACTAACAAACACTAGTAAATCAGATTTTACTCTTCAAGCTCTTCACACTTTCTACTCATGAACTATGACCTTCCCGTGGATGTGCTTGGATTATTTTTCCTGTTCATTCCTGTTTGTTCTGTCCTCTGAGTACTTACCTTTAAGGAGTGGAAACCAATGTTGGCTTGCTACTGAGATAAACACATAAAAAGAGGTGCCTTCTGCATCCCCCTCTGAGGACCTCATGTCACCGCCAGCAGAGGAATTGGCATTAAATTTCCATAACTGAAAATCTTGAGGCGTGAGCTCCATCCAGCCTCAGTAAGAGTTGATAGGCAAAGACTTGTAATAGAAGAAGTCACTGAGGAAAGCTCTACAGAGCTGATGTTGGCAGGTGACAAGGAAGCCCTAATCCCTTTGGATCAGTGCACAGCCATGTGCTGAAAGGATCAGTCTTTGATTTATGGTGAAAGTTATGATTCTTGCTGAAATTCCTTTATTGTTTCAGACAAGCTAGATTCATCAGAAAGACTTGTTTTTGCAGGTCATTATTATTTTTGAAGATTATCTTCTGAAAACAAGAGCCTTCTTTGCTATCCTTTTGATACATGTGATTTTGTCATGCATATCCTTTCCCAACTGATTGAGTAGTGTTGTTTTAGAATTTCAGACCTCCTCTGGATTTTTTACCGTAAATCCATCTTGGGATGAATCTCTGTGATAGAAGCAATACTGCTTTCAATGATTGCATTGAATATAATTTAAAAATATATTTACTGATTTTGCAAGATCTTTGGAAAGTTTTCTAAACTATTTAGCATGCTTTGAAGAAACATAGTATAAAAAGAAAATGTTACTTCTATAAAACACACAAGGATGCCATGTAGGGAAGAGCCATTTACTGTGCTCAAAGCGGATTTAGGACTCAACAGTATGTTGAGAAAGTTAAACTGCCTATTAGCCAGTGCCAGCTGTACCAGAGGCTGTTTTCAGACATATTTACTGGGCAGGGATCCAGCATTACTGTCATATCTGCTTCCATTCCTTGTCTGTCCCTACATTATGTAGTGGTATTTTCATATAAGTATAAAGTCTATTTTAGTAGTGAAGGTGTTTTCATATAAGTATAAAGTCTATTTAGTAGTTAATATCCTCTATTGAGCAATAGCTTCAAGACTTAGACAAAGGAAAAGAAGAAACACAAGCAATTCCCTTAAAAAAAAGATATCTTTTTCCCTGCATAAAGAAAAATAAGTCTATCAATTTAAAACATCTAAAGATTTTACTCCTGATGGTCTCCTTTTAATTTTTTTCCTTAGGTTTTAATTACTTTTCTCTTAACAGCTCCACATGACAAGATATCTCTCTTTCCAGCCCAGAGGGAATGACTGAAACTCCTGTTTGACTATCCCAGTGCTTTTCTGACAGTTGTACTGCTAGCTTTGCCTTCTTTGTTGTTTTCCTTAGCTCTTGGGATTGGCTAATAGAACATCTCTGCTGTGAAGCCCATCTACAACATGGCAGGGTCATTGTTTCCCTCTGGCAAAGGAGATTTTGTTTGCAACAGGTGAGGATGAGTTGGTGCAAACAGAAAGCTGTGTATAGTCGTAACTCCACCAACTTTGAGGGTCTTTATCAGAGAACCTCACTCAGTGATTCATATAAAAGAGGATAAAAAGCTGATCTCTGGAAAGGAAGCACAGAAGATTTCTGAGCTTGTGCCAGACCCCAGTAAAGTCCAAGTGAGGGCTCAAGTGTTCCATCGTTGTCCTTTCCTGTTAGAACATGGAACACAATGGGACAGCAGTCCTACTAAGAGCCTCTAGGGGCTACTGCAGTTCAATAAATCACAATATATAAAATGCAAACCCAGTTTTAAGTCTGATATGGGCTGTGTTAATCTCTGGTGTGCTACCTTGGACTTCAGAATAATTACATGCAATGGAATATTGCCCACTGAGCCTTTGCTGACTCTCACATTGCCACGAAGGATAAAGGATCTGAGTGAGTACAGAATATTCTCTTTGGACACAGTGTTTTGTCTTGTTTTCCTGGGGGAGGAATTAGTCTTTCAGTTCTCTTTCTTTCTTTGTTCCCTACTTTCTGATAATATTGTAAAAGTAATATCTTCAGCTTATGCTGGGTTCTGCAGAGATCACACCAACTTTGTGTACATAACACAGTTTTTTCAACTCCTTGCTAGTGTTCTAATGAAATTTGGTTTTATTTGAGTTAATAAGAATCAATGTTTTACTAATTTTCTCTTTAAAGATATCATACACCCTTGATAATTCTCTCCCACCACATGGGGTTTAGTGCACTGTGAAATGTTTCATGCACCATACGAGGCATAGCAAGAGAATATGCATGTGAGAGAAGGAGCATTCTTAAGAGCAGCATATTTAAGAAACTCAGAATTTAGGAGGAAATCACTACAGGATATCAAAGCAAATTTCACTCCAAGAAGGTTTCAGTTTGTCAACAGATGTAGCACAAAGGCTTCCTGTTGTTTCACAAACAATGAATCTTCTCCTGCCTATAAATAATGTAAAGACAAGTCTCAAGATTTTTAAAAAATTCTGCTAGCTTGAGGCTACCTACCCAGCATGCCTCCTTGTTTACAACTTCCCACTACAAATGTATATTGTGTTTGTTTTCAGGCAAACATCAGCTTTCCCAATGCCTGCAATTAACCTCCAGTACATATTAGCAACAGCCTTTTAAGCAGTTTTTACATCTATTGATACTGGGCAGCATGGTAATGTAGTGGTTGGCTCTACACTATGGAGAATTTATCTCCTCGGCAGGAAGGGTGTGGTGCAGCCCCTGCACCTATAGTGGTAATGAGTTACTCCCATTGCCTGCCAATCCTTAGCAAGCCCCTGCTCTTCAACTAAACTTCCTTGAAGCCATTTTTAAAGGTAGCATGAAATGGTGCATTGTGTAAAGCTGCTGCCACACCTTACATAGGTCTTGAGGTTATAAATAGGATCTACACAAAGGAATGGATTTGTAAAGTTCCATTTTTTTTGTCCAAAGGTTTTCTTTTGTGTGAGAGTACCTGAACACCCAACATCTCCAAGAGTGCAGGTGAGTGCCCTTAATGCTTGATCCCTCTCATGATTTTTGTTATTCTCTCAAACTGCAATTTTCTGTGCAGGCACAGTAAGCCCAGGGGAGAGACCCTGTGCTTAGGCTAGTATGTCCTGCATGGTCTCTGGCAGGATGCCGAGGGCACAGAACCCATGCATGCCCCTTCTTAACCAGCAGTGTCTCATAGGAAATACAGGTGCTTGTTTTGTTTGGTGTCTGATCCTGTCCCTATGGGCGAGGTGTACTCTATAGCATAGAGAGATTCACATTGTTTTTAGAATCTCATTAGATTGTAGGTGCTCAGAAAGAGGTTTTGTGTGCAGTCAGGAATACAGGAATACTGGACATTTGTAGAGATTACAGAAAGGAAAACAAAAGTCAAGATGCTGATGGAGTGTGGGCAACCAAGGAGATTTGGATAGCAAGTCTGGAGTTAAGATTAAAGTCCACTTTCTTTCAAATTCATCCACATTTGCTCTTTATTGGGATGATCCTGAAACACATTGTTCAAAAAATCAAATTTGGATCAAGGACAATTTTGTCTATGGTTCTAAATTTTACATGAAAACTTGTAGTGACAAAAGGCTTCTGTCTGGGACTGGAGTCTTGGCTAATTCTAAACATCCTCAGAGTTTCTTCATTGTTCTTGTCGACTCTGGTTTTCCTGAAGGCTTTTGACACTGGAAACAGAGTTTTTAAAAGTGAATGCAATTTATTTAAAAGCACATCTGAGTTTCAAGAAGAGAGAAATTCTAATTAATTACATTCCAGTATAATGTAAGACCAAGACTATAACAGAGTATGGTGCATAACAAAGAGCTGGATTGATTGTTTGGATCAGTCAAGGAAGAGCTGCAAGCCATAACCATTCTTCAGATTTCTGATGCTGCATAGGAAGGGACATCCACCCAGATCTTTCCAGTTTTCTACATCTTGGCTGACAGGTATCCATCTACACCTGTCAACAACAGCAACACAATAAACTGCTTAGCTACATCCCGTGACTGGGCAGAGAGGAAAGTTCCCCTCTTCCCTGCTTCGGGCTGATTCACTAAGGATAAAAGGAAATAGTTTAGTGGACGAACTATGACTGAACCATTGCACTAGTCACACCCATTTAGGAGTTTTCAGCCTGGCAATTGTATAACCATGAAGTGTATCTGCAAAAAGTATAAGCAAGAAAAAACCTTGAGTCTTGTGAATTTTAAAAAAAAGCAGCAAGGGGGGGAAAGGTTCAGAAAGTCAGATGCTGTTTCTGTCCATCCCCCGGAAGGTGAATTGTTCTCAGGTTTTCATTAGCTCTTAAAATTCCAGCTGCATATCTAATTTCCAGGCCCTACATATCCAGCTGAGGTATTACTTCCTTACTGCCCAAGTCAGGTTTTGTGTTCTACAAATGGTCTACAGAAATATCATTATAAATCCATAGCTGAAAGGACCTGTACATCTTAAGTGCTCTATCGTTTTCTACCTCTGAATATTCTGCCAGCAGAGATTTAGAACATTGGCTCTGTAAATGCTTTCATGTCAAGACTAAAGGCAACACTTGTTTAATTCATTCCTTGACCCAACAGCAGCTTTATCTTAGGTTATCACTTGTTAAGCTCTCTAGAATGTTTTAAACATGAAGGGGGCTGCTGTGTATATATATCCTGTCTATTGTATTTTACTTGCAGAAATTTGACAGTAGTGATTCATAAACATCAAAACCATTTCCTTTCTGTGCTGCAAATTATGCTTTTTTTTAGCTCCATTCACAGGGTGTGTAACCCATTCCAGACAAAAGAACAACAAAAAAAAAAAAAAAAAAAAAAAAAAAAAAAAAAAAAAAAAAAAAAAATTACATTTGTCCCCTACCACATTGGTAGTTCTTTATTATAGATCACTAGAGGTCAGAGATTTTTATACATCTTCTTCTGTGTATATATTTTCATATATACTTGTGTGTATAAAGTAAAGTTTGGTGTGTGTATAAATATACCTGTATGTACAGTTTGGGTACAAGTATATTTATATTTATAAGTATTAATATGCACACACATGTGCACAATTTTATGTGCTGTAGTGTAAATGGAGGACTGGAGTTATACATCAAATGTACTGCAACCTGATTAGAATAACAACTAAGGTTTGCTGTGCATCAAAATAATTTACACTACTCTGTGTAAACCCATCATTCTGTAAACATAGGATTTATCTCTAAGTTGTCAACTGTATTTAAAATCAGCATTTAATAATGACTCCTCAGAAATTACATCAACAGAATCCTTTTGGATTTGCATTACATAACACATCAGAAAGTCAAAAGTTTTGTATTATTGAGTCACAAGACTCTTGATATCAGTCTGTATTTTTACTCTCAGCAATGATGTTTTCTACACCATAGGACAGATAACTTTTCACCCAAATACCCCATTCTCGGGTCAAAGTCTGATTCCTCTCTGAACATCATGACAAGATCTGAGTACTTGCCATCCTCTCATTGGCTCTTTAAAAAAACCCAAAACAACCAGCCAAAGCCAAAGTAAAAACAACAACAAAAAAAAGGCAAAAAACCCCCAATTGGGTGGGAGCCTCAAGGGGAAGTTTGCAATGTCTTGCAATAGGTTCCCCAGTCCAGATAAGCAAGGACCAATGCAGACAGAGTAGTTTGGCCCTGTGCAATCTCTGTAGGTGCCAATCAGCTGGGACATAGGCACTGACAACAGCAGACCTCTGCCAGATGACTTGGCCCTGAGTAATTACTCAACAAGCTACGCTAACCAGAGTAATGTGAAAAAAATACTCTGAGTGGAAGAACAGCAAAAGTTACAGCTCCGTCAGGAAGGGGGTAGTTTAGAAATGTAGCCTGCAAGGAAATTGTGAGTCTGGGACCATTTCCCTCAGACAGTGTCCCTCTGATACATTCCCCTCAGAGAGGGGCTGTTGGTGAAGAAACTTCACCATCAATGCCATTGCAAACAATGTGGCCTCTTAGCAAAATGCTTGAAACTTATGCAGAGAACTAAATTAGCCATGAACAACAACAAAACCTAAAGTCTATCACCACTTTAAAATAAAACACCCAGATGGAAGCTATGGGACTAAATAACCTGAACTTGAATGCAATTATCTGGGGGGGTTTTGTTTCCTTGCAGGTCATATAGAAAGACAAAAACAGTGCTACACGTTTGATGTAGTTTTAATAAATATTCAAAGTCTCCTCAATTACTGCCTGAATAATTACTGTGGATGCAAATAAAATGGGGAAAACCAGAATGACTTTCTGGTCTTCCTCAGGGGAATGGACTTTGGAAGTAGCAGCACTGAATTGCAAGTGAGGCAACTTCAAAAAGAGAGAAAAGAAGAAAGCTGAGAATAGTAGGTGTTGTAAGCCTCTCAAAGGCACTACGTTGCTAGCTATGCATGCAAAAGAGTCTACATTAGCACTACAGCCTTCCACCATAGTGAATTGCCAACTACAGTTTTGGAAATGACACTTTCTTCTCTTTGTGACCTGACGGAAGTCTCTGTGCATTACCTTGCTGTCTGCTTCAGTGAATCCTTTACAGCAAAATACAGCAAAAACCTGGCTGCAAGAAACAGAAAATATTTGCAAGCCAGAACACCCATAAAGACATTTCTCTTGGTAGTGAGAGTTTAAATCCAGGGATCATTTTGAGCACATTTTGTGCTTTGATCCACTGCTGGAATTGTTGAGACCAGCCTTTTCCAGAAGCACACCATGATCCCTCTTGCGAATCTCCACAGAAGTTCAGCAACAACACTTCTCTCATGAAAACATGCAGGACTTTGTGGTAGCTGTTTTTAAGCCATTAAAGTTGAGGAAAAATATTTTGTACTGTGCTGGTGAAGAACATTGGAAGGTTTACATGGTGTCTCTAAAAAAGGCCGAGATCACCTAGTAATATTGTTCTCTCATTCTAGAGGTCCAAGAAAGCCTTTAGTTCATATTGAGTAAAAGGTATCTTGCTTTCTTATTCCATCCTTCAAGCTACTAGCTGGACAACCCTGTAATCTCCACAATGACAATGTAGTAGGGTCCTGCTCTCAGGTTTTTTCATTCATTAGCTCAATGTCCTCATTATAGTTATTATTTCACCTGCCTCTCTGTTTGCTGGGATGGCATATGCCTCAGTGGACTCTCTAGCCCACCAATTTTCTAAGAATTCTATCATCACACTGCATGGACATATCCTCTCAGTCTCAGAGAATCAAGCAGCAATGAGTCAACATCATGTGGATACACAGACAGCTCCTGTGCTGCTGCTGTCTCTCAGTGGATCGGAAATGTGCTGGTCTTAGCAATAGTAGAACTTTCCTAAATCTTAAAAATGCAGACAAGCGTTCAAATACTTCATACCTTGGTCAACCCATTTGAAAGACTTAGGAATACTGAGGGTGAGGGATAAACACTCTGGAAATCAGAACATGGCTGTGAAAGGCATCATTCTGTGCTTCAGCTTCCTGGTTTGCATTTTATAATTTCTTTCAGCAGACAGCTGCATTAGGGGGCCTATATGGGGAATACTGTGCTTCCTCTATTCCTGTTTCAATAAAAGGCAGTGTTTGCTACTGGCTCTTGATACTCACATATGTGTTTTGGGGAATGAAACTCACATCAGTCAAAGCATATGAGTGACAGGGAATTCTGCACAGGAAACAGGGTCCTTCTGTCCTGCTATTGCTGGTTAAAAAAGTCTCCCTTTCTGATTGTCATTCCAGTGATCCACAAATTTCTGGGTTGATTAGGAGATATATTTATTATGTCTTGCCTTCTTCTGTGACTCAGCAGCAAACAGGTTTCCATTTACAAACAAAAGTAAAATGACATCCACAATTGTCAAATGCAAAAAGACAAAAGTGACAAAGACATTTTGCTTTAATACTTCTAAGAAGATACTGCAAGTAACAGAATGCACACACAAGCACATGGGGAATATTCAACGTGGAATTTTGAAACAGTTGGCAGCATTCAGGTCTTAGAGGAAGAAATG